CTGTTATCATGGGATTGTTTTCAAGACAAAAGAAAGCGTTTAAAGTGGAGCATGCACACGAACCCCAACCCTGTGTGCTGCTCAAATACTCCCCCATCAGGGCGGAAAACAATCCTCATCCTCCTGATGAGACGCCTGGTGGTGCTGATGAGATAGGGAGAAAAGAGGCAGGGAGACAAGAGAAAAACAACAAAAGGTTTTGGAGATGTCGCCTTCTTCACTTTTTCCGCCGAAAAGCTGGAAAATACAACCTGGCTAAGGCTGAGGAAGTGTGCCAGAATGAGGCGGGATCGTATCGGAGACTTAATGATGGTAAAATCACATAATCACATATACGACGATGGAAGTTTTGATTAAAGGAAGATTCTTTAATTAGGGAAACTTTTGATGTTCTTATGTACAACTGGCCTTTTTTATAACAAAAAATCACTAACACACACACTAAAAAAGTACAATAGTACCTCAATGATAATAAAATAACACTTATTGTAAAGATAGCTTTACATTGTTTAAAGAAATTTAATTTTTCAATCACTTTTACGCAGCTTTTTTTTTTTTTTTTTTACTTAAGTTTTTAATATTCCCTCAACCCATCAGAACCCCTTAGCAACCAACCACCAACACTACCAGAGTAACCACCTAGCAACACCCTAGTAACAACTCAGAGTACCCTAGCAACCAAATAACACAGTACATCAATAACATCCACAAGTTATGGTCAGCTTTTTTTTTTTTTTTTTACTTAAGTTATTAATATTCCCTCTGTAGGTCAGACTTCTCTACAGCACATCCCTATTGTAGAGATCCATGATCACCAAGAACCTCCAGTCTCTGAAGTCCTCCCTGCTATAGAGGAACTGCTGGAGCAGAACATCCCCCAACAACAGGAGGTCAACACTCCAGCTAGTTTGACTGAAGAGGACAAAGTGGAAGAGCTGGACAAGGGTAAATTTACTGCCATAATCCAATTCTCACTTTCCCAGTGAATGGATTTATTAGGCCTCATTACCAAACCTGTCAGTAAAAGTCTTAATTCAGAAACAAATTTATTTACATTGTTTGGAAATGTTTACATTTTTTTTCCAAAAGAGTCCTTAAATGAAAAACTACTGTAATTTGAGTATGCAATATTTTATTCATATTACTGGCATTCCCCTCTTTAGATCAGACATCTCTACAGCACATTGTAGAGATCCATCCAGTCTCTGAAGTCCTCATCAGTGCTAAGGAACAACTGGAGCAAGACATCCTCCAACCTCAGGATGTCAACACTCCAGTTAGATCCCCTAAAGATGACAGATCGGAAGAGCTGGACAAGGGTAAGTTTACTGCCACAATCCAAAACATAATACACGCAGATTCTCACATTCCCAGTTTTTCAAAATGCCACTTTAATTTGAGAATGCAATATTTCATTCATGTTATTTATCTGATTTGATTCATATTATTCCCCTCTTTAGATCAGACTTCTCTGCAGGAAATTGCAGAGATTCATGATCTTGGAGAAGCTCCAGGCTCTGAAGTCCTCCCCGCTGCTGAGGACTTCCAAACTCTAGATAGTTCCACTGAAGATGATGAAGCGGAGGAGCCAGACAACAGTACGAATAATAAATATATGAGAATTAGAAAATGTTAGTATAAATTATAGAATGCGTAAAAATGTATTTCATGCTAACGGCATTTGTTTATCTTTTAAACAGGCCACATATTCTGGCGATACGAATTTGGGCCCAAGCTGGGTAAAGGAGGCTACGGCTATGTGCATGCAGGGACTCGCTGCAAGGATGGCCTTAAGGTTTCATTTTTTTGCTTACTCTTTTTTTTTTTACTTATAAAACTTTCCATACTTGTTCGGTATTCATGACTGGAATGACCTCTGTGCACCTGATAATTGTCAATTCTTTGTTTGATTGAACAGGTGGCTGTGAAAATTGCCGAAAAGACTCCAGATATGCCATATATCAGAGTTGTGAGTAGCCTGTGCTCTCTATATTATTGCTTCTCAGTCACTGTTTTCCATTTCTAACATCTTATATTCATGTTAATCTGAGAAACCACCTTCATCTAAGCATCATATGTTCTTTCTTTTAGCCTGGCCATCCCAGTCGCCTCCCCATGGAGATTGGCCTGACACTCATGGCCAATAAGGGCCCCAGTGATCCACACATAATCAAACTCCTGGACTGGCAGGACAACCCGGACTACTATGTCATGGTCTTGGAGCGGCCCATGCCTAGCATGAGCCTGTTTAGTTTCGTGAAGCTCCGACAAAGGCTCGAAGAGGGGATAGCACGACATTTTATGTGGCAGGTCATTCATGCGGCTAACATTTGCTGCGAGCGTGGCGTCTTCCATAGAGATATAAAATTGGAAAACCTCCTGGTGAACCCAGACACGTTGGAGGTCAAGTTGATCGACTTCGGGTGCGGCATGCTCATGAAGGACTCTGCCTACGTGACCTTCAATGGTAAGTTTTATGATTTGCTAGCAGGTCATTTAGCTCACTGAAACACATCCTGCTGTACATGCTGTAGAAATGCATGAAATATCAAAATCTCTTCCTTCTAGGTACAGAAATGTTCTGTCCACCGGAGTTCGATGTCGACGGCAGGTACTATGCAAAGCCAGCGACAGTTTGGTCATTAGGGATCCTGCTGTTCGTGATGGTGTGCGGGTATTATCCAGACGACAAAGACCTGCAAATGATCAGCAAGAATGAGTGGTCCAAACCCAACCTGTCACAAGGTGAGATCTTCATAAAAGAACAAAGATGGACAATTTGAATTATACGTATGAAAGTATACAATTTGAAATCTAATTATAAAAATGTGTAACGTTTAAGTTAATAATCTCTCTCGTCTTTTTGAACAGAATGCTGCCAGATGATTTGCAATTGTCTGCAGCCGGATCCCCAGCAGAGACTTGTTCTGGAGGAGATGCAGCTCCATGACTGGTTTATGGTACTAAGATTAGAATCTAATATTTGCTAAATGTTTTTTTTCCATATAATCAGTCAAATTTGCTCTAAATGTCATGTATTAAAATAAATAACACTGATTTATTTTTTTGTTTCAGGTCGTGGAGTAAGACATGGAGAGCGACAAAAAACGACTCCCTGTCACGGCCACTCAGTGGTTTTCTGTCTTCAGTCAGCTTTGCGTCTGGCAGGCTGACATGAGTGGCCTTTCCATCCCTCCACTTAGGCCTTGGCGTCTTATGTCCTGGTAGTGCCTGGCAGTGCCTGGCAGCTTGAAGTGGCATTATTTATATTTATAATTTGTGTTAGATATTTGTATTATGTGTTAAGATATTTGTATTAAGATATTTAGAAGGATTATTATAAGAAATTTTAAGTATAATAATAGAATAAGTATAATATTAGAATAATAATTAGAAAATGTATTAAGATATTAAGTATTAAGATATTTGTATTAAGATATTTATGCACTGTGTTATATTACCAGATATCTCTCTATGGAAAGCTGTGGAAACACTAAAATAAGAAAATAAATAAATATAAACAATTCATTCACCACTACACTCATCCATGACACAAACATTCAGTGTAGTGTACAGAAATATTCGGAAATGTCAAAATGACATAAATTATGTTCACTTGACACAAAAACACATCCCATGTTAGCTTGACAGAATTTTGGATTTTTGAGTTGAATTGTTCTGAAAATTATAAGATTTATAAAGCACATTTAGCCAAAACTGTGTAGGCTATGTCAGTTGACAACACATACATTGTGTTATTAACATAATAACGTACACACACATTATGACATTAGATATGAATGCCACTTCAACAACTTTCAGTACAACTTACTTGAGTCTGGTGTGGAATAATATAAAATATGTGAGTAAATACATACATATATAAACACTTTCAAATACCATAAAAGTCATGACGGCGGATCACTGATTTTGTTTTAGTTAGTTTACTTTTTTTTTTCTAACTTGGTCTGATTATCTGCTGTCACCAATTAATACAGAAAGGCTTTAATAAGGCTTTAAAATGTCCCTTCCTCTAATACCACATATCTTCAGGCAGTTTGGCTGATATGGTTCCCTCGACATTAGTCGTTAATGAAGGCTTTGGAACTGTGCACATTCTTGTGGTGCATCCATAGACTGTATAAAAACATGGACGTAGTGTCCGTGACGTCACCCGTAGATTTCCGAAGAGCGTTTTTGAAGCTCAAAAGTGGGCCGTCGCCATCTTGGCAGCACGTCACCGCTCGTCACTCCCGGATAATCGAAAATGGGCAAAGAGGCGGGAGCAGGTTGCTGAAGCCACCCCCACCTGGTGGTGACAGCAGCGCAATCCACCTGTCACTCAAGTGGCCACGCCCTTAATTATGCAGAACTTTAAGGCTTAATATAATTTAAACGGATGAGTTATAAAAAAATTCACCCCCCTCACAGTTGTCATCAAGGGCAAAATTAGCTATATAGACCAAAATCATTTGTTGAACCAGGCTGTAAACATGTTTTTTTCTGCTGTAAAGTTGGGCATTTTAACATGGGGAGTCTATGGGATTGACTCCCTTTTGCAGCCAGCCTCTAGCGGCCAGTTGATGAATTACAGTTTAAGTCACTTCCTTGTTGGCTTCACGAGAAAGAGGGGGAGGTTGCCGCTTGGGTGCATCCAGTGGGTCAAGTTTATGCATGATTAACATGACCCAGTTAACCCCTGCTGGTAGATGTCATAACTACACCATCTGGCTGCATATACTTTCCAATGAAGGCCTTTTAAAAGTAGCCATGTATTCTAATTAAATACTTTAAATGCAAATCTTGACAAAAATAATATTTGGAGTTTAACACTTTTCTGTTTTAATAAGAAATAGCATAGTTAATTAATATTAATAAGAAAGAAAACAGCGACTTTAAAGCCATTTCATGGAGTTTTTAATAATCAGCAAAACATGCAGGAATCACATGATTTCCCCTGTGATTACAATGAATAAATACAAAAACAAGTTTTAATTTGCTTATCTTCTGTGCAGTAATATAGTTTTAACCTTACAATATGTAATATATTATGTAATACGCATAGGCAAGCACCATTTTAATGAATTACTTAAAAAGGATTCATTCACATTTCATTTAAAAATTCTGATACTGCAGTAGAAGGTCCTCACTGTGTTCCTTGGCAGTCTGAAAGAGAAAAGATACTAAAGATTAAACAAAGCACAAAGACATGGCATGAAGACCACAAAACTTGAACTTGAACCTGACTGTGTCACAAGCAGATCAATCCAAATGTAATTTCAAATACATATTCTACTGCAGTTTATAGAATATAAATGCTCTCTAAATAGTAACAACTTTGAAACAATGGCATCTTCAAAGTGGCAATAGCACCACCTACACTTACTAGGATGGCGTTGGTCATTGCCTTCAAGCTGTTCCAGAGGTCTCAGTGACTTTTATCTCATCCTCTAACTCCTCCACACCTGCCTGAGTCATGAGTTCAGAGATGTTCTTCTCCAAGTCATCGATTCGCGTACTCATCTCATCAAGTATTAGAATTAAGAGAAAACTCATTTTGAATAAGCTATCATCACATAGGCGATCTAGGAAGCATGAATTTTCTTCTAATAAATAAAGGTTTTGATTGTGTACACAAAAACATAGCTAGTGCATTCCACTCAATTATGCTACAATTAGGTACTAAATGAATTACAATTATTTACACTGATAAAAACATGCATATGTGGAAGGATATTTCGCCCAATAATCTGGTCTGACATGGTCTGGAACTTGTCCTGCATCTGCTGCAGTAAGGTCTGTACCTAAACAAAAGAAAAATAATAAACAAACAATCAGATTTAAAACTCTGAAAAATTGTGAATGAACACTGCGTCCAACAAGCATAAATGAAATCCATCTAGAATCGTGTGGGTTTTGCGTGGGCCTCCCACACAGGAGTAAAAACAGCAGTTTAAGGGCATGCTCCCCGCCCATGCCTGGAACTGAAACCATAGTAACAAGGGAACCCTCTCAACATCGTGTAATCACACAAGATACCCAACAGTGAAATAAAGAAATCCTCGTTGTATAACCCTTCCGAATATAAGTTCCATCTACATTTTAATGTAATTTAACTATAGATTGATGAAGAAAGAAACCATTTGAAAATTTGAACTCACGAGAGTGATCTTTCAATACAACTTCACGACAGAGCTATTAATGAATGATGACTTACAACAGGCGAATCACAGCACTTAACAGCACTTCTCATTATACACTAATTCACTTTGGCTAGTGAAGTGAGCGCGACTGAATACTAGGCGACTGTAAGTGCACGACCCAGATTTGGTATCTCGGTAAAAATCAAATACTCACCACAACAGTCAGGTCCTGAGATGTTTTAGGGTCCTTCTCAGACATATCTTCTTCAAAAACCCCTACGTGCCTTCGCGTGATCTTTATGCTTGTGTGATCAAGAGCCCTGTCAAGGCTGTACAGTACTGCGTGATGTATTCAAGGTGGAAACTGCCGTTGAAGCAGTAGCTGATTTCGTTGTTAAGAGGTTTGGTCAGTGAACTGAAATCAACAGATCGGCTTTTGCTCTTTTGGATGTGATCATTTTTATGTCCTAAAGGGGGCGCTCGGTGGCTCAGAAAGGCGAGTCCCCGTAGAGATTCAGAATCACTGCATGTCTAGCTGACATTTACAACTGTATTCAATATATTAAAACTAATAAAAAAAATAACAATTTTAAGAAATATACAAATTAAAAAGAATTACATGCCATTAATGAAAGATTAAGTGATAAAACATAAATCTCAAAAATCAGTGCATAAATAGTGAGTTAGGCTGACAATATAGGTAAAAATAAGTAAAATACTGTTTTTTTTTGTTTGTTTTTTGCCTTTTGATAATATTTTATATTAGATTTCTCGAATAAATTCGATTTTTAATATTTAACTAAAATACATTAAAACGATGTACACTACTACATACTTACAGTTTTTACAGTACATACCCGTACTACACTACATATTTTCTAGATTTTCATTATTTTATTTACCAGTGTCGCCTGTGAACCAAATCTTCCTGAGCCGCCAAGCGCCCCCTTTCGCAGGTAAAGGTTTATTTCGTGAAATACAGCTGCTTGGCCTTTCCACAGGCTTGGGTTTAATGGTAATACGTCATTGGCAACCGAAATGACCAGGAAAGCAGCCTGTTAAACCACTGATCTTACATATTGATTGAAATGTCCAACGATCTGCATAGAAATATGTAAGTTAATAAATGTACCGTTATTTATTTAAACCAGTCTACTATGCAAACACAGCAAATACAAGCCATAGGATTTGGAACAGATAAACTCAATTTCCCATGAACATAGCAGAACAACGACTAGCGCAATGAGTTATGGGTATTGTTGTTTATTCGTCATTGGATTCCGTGCCGTCTGTCAGAAAATCTCATATGTTGAACTACATGTCCCATGAACCCTTGGAGAGAAAATTTTTACATCGCAACAGCAATTTGACCGCAAGGGGTTTCTGGAGTCAGTTGACATCGTCGACTCTAGTGAGGCGCGCTGGAGGCGACACGCAGACGTAATTTTTGGGGAACTTTGGTCCTTTCCCCCCACTTCGTCGAAAAGGCATAATAACGCGAACGCAGAGTTTATGTTACTAACATTCGTTGCAAAAACATGCTTGATCCCTGGTGGTCCTTTAGGTAATTGAATTGCCAGCTGGATCATTTTTGCAACGCTGCTTGCTGGCCAAAACTAAGTTAATTAATCTTTCCCGGGATTTAAGATCCAGCGATATTTCATTGGAGCAGTTTGTAAAACGAAGTAAAATCGTCGTTGGAATCATTCCCGATGCCCAGCTAACTGGACTATAGCTAGTCAGCCGAGGCTTGCTGCGCCCAAGCCGGGCGAAGATTGACACTGCACGGTGTCACCCAACTGAAGAGGATCGAGCTTATTAGGCGACAATGCTTGAAATAATGTCCGAACACCAAGGTAAGGAAAACATAAAACTTGAATTTCAAATATTAAAACTTTAACCATGTTGTGATATGCAACACCCATCATCATCGTCGTCGTTCAGTTTTAGCAAAGTCTGTTAGCAGCTTTAATACTGCAGTAACTTTGCATACCCTTTAGTTTAGCAGACTGATTTTACAAGTAAACCTGATTCAATGCCAGCCACTTTGTAATGTTTGATTGTGTTAATGAAGCAGAGGACATTTTACTGCGCCGACGAGCTGGTTCATACAGGGATTAGCCGAGTTGCTATCTTGATGGTAGCCATTTGTTAAGCAGTATCTCATAAATGATTTCAAATATGCCTGATATCCAACCACTGCTTTCCGTTCAAATGATTTAATGAACAGGTTTACAAAACCGCAGTTACGCTGCGTTGCGCATTTTGTCTTCGCTAAATAAAACAAGCTCGGTTTCAAATTAGTTGCCTCTTTTAATCCCTTTAACCAGGTGCCAGTTGAATAGTTTTTTTTTATTAGTACACAGTTAGGCTGTTTGTCTGATATTTTAACGTCCTTTAAGACAAAAATGTTGCCTTTTTAAGGCTTGTCACTGCTTAGCGTGGTAGCATTTCGCTGCCTGACTGTAACTCTTTTGTTATGCCGGGGTAAATGTATTGCGAATGGTGTCTGTTCCCTCTCAACACTTATAGGTTTGGTCGTTGTAACTATATTACGATCAACCTAACATCAACATAAAACAATATATGTTTTTAAAGTTGTTTCCAAACCAGAAAAGTTGTCTTGTCGTGTTTCGACGTCGAGAGCAAGTTTTAAGCCACAAGCTGCTTCGTCCTCTCGCCTTTTTCACCGCTTTAGTTTATTAAAGTGTTTGTCACTACATTAGTTTTCTAAACAAAGTCTCTCAAATCGTGTGGATGTTTGGATGTAAAATGGTGCCTTGCGCACTTGAATTTTACGCCTCAATCAACAGGGTGTCGCGAGGAACAGCACAGTTAGCGCGTTAGCTTACCGTCGAAAACGCACTTTTACCAGGTTTGTAAAAAATGAAACCTGCACCAAACTATTCCAAATGCAAAGTATTCTCGGTTAAATCTGTTATTTAGCAACGAATTAATATTGTTCTCTCTCCTTTCTTTTTGCTACATAGATTCATTACTGAAGTGCAAAGCGGAGACTCTGGTAAGTCAAACAAGGAAATAAGATTTTCATCCTACAGATGGCAGTGCTTGTCCTAATTGCTAATAAATGATGTTTATGTCCAGCCATCAGAGAGAAGAAAGAGAACAGTGGAGGACTTCAACAAGTTTTGCAGTTTTGTTCTTGCATATGCTGGTTACATCCCTTCTCCAAAGGAGGTAAGAATGGAGCATTGTTTCACATTTAGGTGTGGTTTCATGGTTTAAAGCCCTTTTAAAAATCCTGTTCCCAGAGACCTCCTAGTGCTGCACCTTTTTGACACCCATTCCAAGCATGTACTAATGCGCTAATGAGCAGAATTTGACAGATACTGGATTTTGTAGATAATGATAACCAAGTTAAAAATCTAGCTGGGAACTGTTTAATTGGGCTGTAGTTTGAAAAATCTGTATTTTTTTTAAAGTGCTGAAATTTAATAATAATATGCTTTAATATATGTATGCTTTACTTTAATCATGAGAATGTTTTATCATTTTAAAATTAATCACATTTATTAAGTTGTGCCTCATCACACAATTTTTATCATACAAATGATATACAAGAAATGGAGAAAGAGAAAAAATGTCATAATGTCCACATTTAATGTATATCATGATGTCCATGTGCCCTCGTTAAATATACATCATACCAAGCTTACTTTTTAGATGTGTATATTTCAGCTTGATTTTGTCTTAGCATATAACTAGTTCAAACACCGTTTAAAACGGAAAGCTTTTTTTTTTTTTTAACATTAAAAAAAATCCAATTATTGGTGCTATTTTGTCCCAATAATCGATAGTTCCAAGAATTAGCTGTTGGTGCCAATGAGTTAAATCAGGTTTGTCAGTTTAGGGAGATATCCAAAACATGCAGTGTTTGGGGAATTCAAGGATTGGCATTGAGAACCACATGTTTACATAGTTTACTCCAGGTCTGGCCAATCCTGCTCCTTGAAGGCCACTGACCTGCAGAATCGACTCCAATCACAATTAAACACACCTGACCCATGGTAATCAAGCTCTTCAGCATTACTAGAATCTTCCAGGCAGGTATTTTGGGATAAGTTGGAGCTAAAATCTGCAGGATGTTGGACCTCAGATGCCCATGATTTAGCCTGTGCTTTCAGTGCTGTCAATCTTCTCCATTGAACGTCTTTAGCCCTGCACTGGTCTTTTTTTCAACCTGTATTTGTAGATGTAAGCTGTTTTATGACCAAATATAATTTGAGCCATTCTGGTTGTGTGTCTCTGTCCACAGGAAAGGCCATGGTCGCCAGCATCCTCCAGTTCTCCAAACAGCTCTGGTGCTTCAGGTGAAGGCAGCGTTTTAGGTGGAGCGAGTTCTAACATGGCTCCCAACTGGAGTCACGGCACGTCGGACTTGCACACCATCCACACGTTCGTTCGCAAGGCTCGTGCCAATAAGAGCAACAAGAGCATGCGGCGGCAGTCGTCTGACAGCGCCCTGATGGACAAAATGTGTTTAAAAGACCCTTTCTATGAGGGCCAGGTCGCCAGCAAAGCTGAGCGCAAAAAGGACAAGAAGCTGAAGCGTCTTTCTCTCGGTTCCGGCGCTGGTGACAGCAGCAGCAGCAGCGGTGGCGAGAAGCGTGCAAGGATCAAGCGCAGTAAAAACCCCAAACAGTCCAAAGCGCTTAGGAAGCTTAAGAGCTCGGCCCAAAGCGAGACAGACTCAGAGCACGGTCTCGGGCATGGAGAAGAGCATTTGGACCAGGGAGCAGCGGCTGAGCACAGACTACAGGCCCAGGTGAAAGAAGAAAAGGAGGAAGCCACCAGAGAGGCAGATATGAGTTCCAGTGAGGGAGAGACTTGGATAGCGGATGAAGACATAATGGTGGAGTCAGGTGAGTTTATTAGGGACTGAGGAAGATTTAGATGGTTTGGAGATGCTCATAAATATTAATTGAAGGATTTTAATTAGTGCTGTCAAACGATTAATCACATCCAAAATAAAAGTTTTTCTTTACATAATACATGTAACTGTACTGTATATATTTTTATGTATATATAAATATACACACATACAGTATACATTTTGAATATATTTACATGTATTTACATGTCTATAATTATATTCATATAATTTATATTATAAATATATTTAATATATAAAAATAACATTTTTCTGAAATATATACATGCATGTGTGTGTATTTATATATACATAATAAATATACACAGTACA